TCTGGGTGTTCCTGTATTGGGTGCATATATATTTAGGATTGTTAGCTCTTCTTGTTGCATTGATCCTTTTACCATTATGTAATATCCTTCTGTGTCTCTTTTGATCTTTGTTGCTTTAAAGTCTAATTTATCAGAGATGAGAATTGCAACTCCTGTTTTTTTTTTGCTCTCCATTTGCTTGGTAAATTTTCCTCCATCCCTTTATTTTGAGCCTTTGTGTATCCTTGCATGTGAGATGGGTTTCCTGGATACAGCACACCGATGGGTTTTGGATTTTTATCCAATTTGCCAGTCTGTGTCTTTTGATTGGGGCATTTAGTCCATTTACATTTAGGGTTAATATTGTTATGTGTGAATTTGATACTGCCATTTTGGTGCTAGCTGGCTGTTTTGCCCTTTAGTTGAGCTGGTACTTGTTGTTCCTTTATATGTGTAGAGCCTGTTTCAGGAGCTCTTGTAGAGCTGGCCTGGTGGTGACGAAATCTCTGAGTACTTGCATGTTCCCAAAGGATTTTATTTTTCCTTCACTTATGAAGCTTAGTTTGGCTGGATAGGAGATTCTGGGTTGAAAGTTCTTTTCTTTAAGGATGTTGAATATTGGCCCCCACTCTCTTCTGGCTTGTAGGGTTTCTGCTGAGAGATCTGCTGTGAGTCTGATGGGCTTCCCTTTATGGGTAACCCGACCTTTCTCTCCGGCTGCCCTTAGTATTTTCTCCTTCATTTCAACCCTGGTGAATCTGACGATTATGTGCCTTGGGGTTGCTCTTCTTGACGAATATCTTTGTGGTGTTCTCTGTATTTCCTGGACTTGAATGCTTGCCTGCCTTGCTAGGTTGGGGAAGTTTTCCTGGATAATATCCTGAAGAGTATTTTCCAGCTTGTATTCATTTTCTTCGTCGCATTCAGGTACGCCTATCAAACGTAGATTAGGTCTTTTCACATAGTCCCACATTTCTTGGAGACTTTGTTCATTCCTTTTTACCCTTTTTTCTCCAGTCTTGCCTTCCCGTTTTATTTCATTGAGTTGATCTTCGACCTCTGATATCCTTTCTTCTGCTTGGTCAATTCGGCTGTTGATACTTGTGCATGCTTCACGAAGTTCTCGTGTTGTTTTTCAGCTCCATCAATTCACTTATATTCCTTTCTATTTTGTCCATTCTTGTTAGCATTTCGTCAAATCTTTTTTCAAGGTTCTTAGTTTCTTTGCATTTGGTTAGAACATGTTCTTTAAGTTCACAGAGTTTCTTACTACCCACCTTCTGAAGTCTGATTCTGTCATTTCATCAGACTCGTTCTCCATCCAACCTTGTTCCCTTGCTGGTGAGGAGTTGTGATCCCTTGTAGGAGGAGAGGTGTTCTTGTTTCAGGTGTTTTCATCCTTTTTGCGCTGGTTTATTCCCATCTTTAAGGATTTATCCACCTGTCGACTTTGTAGTTGCTGGCTTTCAGATTGGGTCTCAAATCTTTCATATTGATGTTCTGTTTGTTGATGATGAGGTTATTTCTGTTTCTTGGTTTTCCTTCTGACAGTCTGGCCCCCCTGCTGTAGGTCTCCTGAGGTTCACTCCAGGCCCTGCTTGCCTCGGGTTCACCTGCAGCAGCTGCTGAACAGCAAGGGTTGTTACCAGTTTTCTTCTTCTGCTATCTTTGTCCCGGAAGGATACCCGCCTAGTGTCAATCTGATCTCTCTTTTATGAGGTGTCTTTTTGGATTTATAGGGGTCAGGGAGCTGCTTGAGGAGACGGTCTCTTCTTTATAGGAGCTCAAATGGTGAGCTGCGAGCTCTGTTGTTCATTCAGAGCTGCTGGGCAGGTACTTTTAGGTCTGCTGCAGCAGAACTCTTAAACTGCTTTTTGTTCCCAGGTGCTCTGTCCCAGGGATTTAGGGCTTTGTTTATGAGTTTCCATTATGCTGCCGCCTTCTTTTTTTTTTTTTTTCCTTCAGATCTGCCCAGCCCAGCAAGGAGGCAGCCTAGTCACTGTCGGCCTGTAGCAGCTTTGCTGAGCTGCTGTGGGCTCCGCCCCGCTGCCAAGTGAACTTCCCTGCAGTCCTGTTTATATGGGTGTAGTTAGAACTTTGGCGATGGTGGCCCGCCTCTGTTGGGGTGGAGTCTCTGCTGTGGCGGGTTGCCTTGGCAACGGCGGGCTGCCCCAGCAATGGCGGGTTGCTTTGGCAACGGCGGGCTGCCTCGGTAATGGCGGACGCCCCTCCCCCACAGAGCTGGACCGTCCCGGGTTCAGTTGCGCTTGCTGTGAAAGTGTCAATCCAGAGTTTCTGGTTGCTATTCTTTTGTGGGGGTGGGACCAGCCGAGCCTGATCGCCTGGCTCCCTGCCTCAGAGCCTTTTTTAAGTTGGTGTTCCAGTCGCCTGTTGAAGAGGCGCCAGGGTCTGTTTGTTTTCCCCTGCAGCCACTCACTGCGCTGGCTTAAACAGCGGCACTGAGGTTTGTGGCACCTTTTTTTTTTTTTGCCCTGGCATCTACTGTCCTGGTTCTCTGCTCAGTCCCCTTTTTGAACCGGCGTATGGGCGACTTCCTGTGGCTCCAATCGCCAGCCAAAAGGGCCCCCGGACTGGTGTTTTTTGTACGGAGAAGCGTGGCTCCGGGGCGCCGACAAAGCAGCTGCGCGGGGCAAAGCAGCGGCACTGGCTGGCACAGCCGCGCTGGCGACCGTGGAGCACCTCCGCCCGGGAATTTCCTAGTCTGTGGGCAATAAAAACGCGGCGTCCACTCACCCTCTGCGCTTTCACTGGGAGCTGCAATCCTGAGCTGTTCCTAAACAGCCATCTTGGATCCGAAGGCCAATTTCTTAATCGGGAGCCCATTTTTTATTTGTCCAAGAGTGATACAACTCTATTATATAATTATCCTAAACTCCAATTAATAGGTTTTTGGAAGCTGTTTATGGACTATTTTTGTTACATGTTACATTTTATTTCCTTCCTTTATTTTTTTCTTTTTAATGCCCAAGTACTCTATAGAACCTTTTTTCTAAAATAGTTATTAGCATTTAATTTTTCAGGTTTTAGTAGGGTATTGAACTTGGTGATTCATAAACTAAACTAGATTGGGTTTTATCCGTTGCTAGGGTCTTATTACAGTGGAGTTTTTGGTTTTTTTTGGTGAGACAGAATTTTGCTCTTGTTGTCCAGGCTAGAGTGCAGTGGCTTGATCTTAGCTCACTACAACCTCTGCCTCCTAGGTTCAAGTGATTCTCTTGTCTCAGCCTCCTGAGTAGCTGGGATTATAGGTGCAAATTAGCCACCACGCCTGGCTAATTTTTGTATTTTTAGTAGAGAGAGGGTTTCATCATATTGGTCAGGCTGGTCTCGAGCTCCTGACCTCAGATGAGCCACCCGCCTCAGCCTCCCAAAGTGTTGGGATTACAGGCATGAGCCACTGCATCTGGCTTACAGTGGAGTTTTTAAACCTCAGCACTAGTGATATTTTGGGCTGGATAATACTTTGTTGTTGTAGGGGCAGAGGCTGTATTGCTCATTGAAAGATATTTTGCAGCATCCTTGGCCTCTCCACTAGGTGCTGATAGCACCCCCCCTCCTTGTGACAACCAAAAATGTCTCAGACATAGCCAAATGTCCAGTGGGAGGTAAGATCATCCCCAGTTGATAATCACTGGCAGTGATGCTCAGCTTAGAACAAATTAAAATAATGTATAGAATTTTCTTAAATTTTGATTTATTCTTCTATACAAGTTTAAAAACCCTTTACATATACATATATATACATACACATACACATATATTTAGAATACTGTAAAAGAACAAGTAGCCAGTAAAATGATTGGGAAACTGCTAGTCTCTGAAATGTACTTGTTCTTTATAAATTATGCCCATAACAATTAGATTGTTATGAAGTAGTCTAATTTATGGGAATTTAAACACAGAGATCAACTTAAGTTTGGTCTATTTTAGTACCCGCTTTGCATCTTATTAATGGGTGTTGTCTAACTTAGATATAGGAGGTTGAATTTGAAACCTTTGAATAAAACATTTATTGGAATAGTGAAGACTGTGTAATTGGAAATAAGACAAGAAGGCATTTATATACTTAAAAGCTAGAATATCTGTCACATTAATTTCAAGCTTATTTTCTACCAGTGTTATAATCTTTTTCATTTAGACATTAAAAGAAACCAAGAATGCCCAGAACTGTTTATTTTAATAGAATAAGTTTCATGATTCTTAACCTGTAATGCAATAGATGTTAAACATGTATGAATAAACTAGAACTGGAGATTGCCTATCTCCTGGCTTCTTAGTAAGAAGTGTCTGTTCTAGTTTTGATCAGCTAAATAAGTCTGACTCATTTTTTAGTTTTTGATGTGGTTGTAAAATGGAGTTAGGGAATAAAAACACCCCAAATAAAGAGACTTCTTAAATGCATAGCCACGTTGACTCTGACAAGGAAGCCTGTAATCTGCTTAAGGTTATAGCAAATTTCAGTACATTTTGTAGCTGCCCCCCCAAAAAGGATTAAAACTTGTTCTTGCCTTAAATAATTTAATCACCTGAATTATGTGCTGTATTACTTATTTGAAACATGGCAGTAAATTATGAAGTAGGTGCTTTAAAAGCACTAATAGTAGCTTTTCACCTTTGGGGTAAGAATAATTGGAATTCTGTGAATATTTGGTTTGGTGATTGGGGAGTCAAAACTATATTGGTATCTGTCTCCTACTGAACTTTGAAATCCCAGGGATGTCTTATATATTGTGGGAACACAGTATTTGTTGGATGCATATACTTGGAAGGGAAATGTTAATTGTTTTGCTCTAATACATCATCTTGTAGTCAGCATTTCTGGGTTAAATTTTTGCATGAAAATATGTGTTTGTGTGTGCCTAGTCCCTAAACACTTTGAGGAATTGCATTGCTCTATGCAACTGGGTATTTTCCAAAGGTACACTGTTCTTTGTTAGCTGTATATGAGGTTGGAAAAGAAAAACAATGATAAAGGAAACAAAATTGCTTTTTTTGACCAGGACTTTTTTTATGAAGACATGGAGTCTTTGACGCAAATGCTTAGGGCCTTGGCAACAGATGGAAATAAGCACCGGGCCAAAGTGGACAAGAGAAAGCAGCGGTCAGTTTTCAGAGATGTCCTGAGGGCAGTGGAGGTAGGATTCTTAAATGCTGTAATAGCTTCTCATTTTGAAATTGGATTGTTTCAAGCTAAACTTGACAATTGGACCATTTTGTTGATTGAATTTCACCTTTGGAAATAATTTGTCATTTTACGTCATAGCAGTATTTTAACAATATTAAGTGAAGACTTTTTTCAAACAAAGGAAAATTAATGCTGATGTATAAAGATACTTTTTTTTATTTAGTTTTTTTTTTTTAAATAAAAAGACCCTTAGTGATAGAAATGTATTTGACCTTGGTGTATTTATCATTTAAACAATGGTGCTTAGCATATATATTCTTAGTGTACAGTGTTTTTTTATGAGTGTAATAAATTACTGCCTAACCCTCAGACTTCAACCCAGCCTCATTGTCTTTAAACAGAGATCTTTGTGATCTTTCTAGGAAAGCTGGAGGCTAAAAACTGAAATAAGAAAACCCAGCATTTTAACAAGGCCACTTAAAATCATTATCTGATGCTTGAATATTTCTCCTGTCCTCAAACCTGTTTCAATTTATATGGCAAATAAATTGGTTTAGAATGCATGGCTAGAATGAACTATAGGATAAAAATCTCAGTGCAGAAAACTGAAAACTTTAATAATTGTTTTTGGTTGTTAGGTAAATATTTCTTGGATTTAAAGGGTATGTTTCTTAGATTATTGCTGTTTGATATAGCAGTTGTTTTAAGAATAAGTATATCATCAGAATGTTATTCAACTTGATGTGTGTGTGAAAATTTAAAATGGGAATTTAAATTGAAAATGGTGAGGCCCTATGCCAGATCCAATTTTAATATGTTCCAGTGAATTCTTATATGCATCCTTTCTTAATTTTAATCTATTTTTAGAAAAGTAAAATCTAGGATACAAATTAGATCCTTTGGGATCTACATACTTTGGTTAATGCTGACTCTCAACACATTGTAATAGTATTTTATATTTCCTCTGGATTTTATAGACTAAAAAGCAAAAAACCTCCCAACTTTAGCAAATATCAATATTAATAATTGAAATTAGTCTTATAATTAGTGTGGCAGTATCTCTAAAGTAAGCCATTTTCTTTAAGTAACTATAAACTATTCCTATATTTAATTTTTTTTTTTTTAAGATACTGTAGTCTCCAAAGATATGATGTCATGTCCTAGATTTTCTGGATGGACCTGATTTCAGGTTGTCTGCCCTAATGCGTCCCCTTTAAGTAGTAGATTATAAGGGTCACCAGAACCTGGTGATTGAAAGGTTCCTGTCCATTGACAAGCCCCTCAAACCAGGCCAGCCATAGCACTCAGTACTGATTATTTAGAGGAAGACACAAGTGACATTTCAGCTTACACCAGCATTAACAGCCTCTTGTGTATTTCTCAGGCTCTGTTAAATGGAAGCCATTCCTATCCCATAGTGATCTACCTGCCTGCCCACTTTTCTTCATCTCAGGATCTTCCTTGTCCCTCCAGCCTCTGTGTTAATGCACCTGCCTGAGAAAGGCCTATCCTCTGGGCCTTGCTAAGGGTTCTTGTTTCTCTTTTTTCCCCACTGGAACCTAGCTTTTTCTGGAGCACCCAGCTTACCGATGGATCTTTTAAATGAAGGTTGCTGTACTGCCACAAAGGAGATCTAAGCATGTTAGGTTTGGTAGTGGCTGCCACACCGTTTCTTTTCATTTAAAACCTTTCTTGAGGCTCATGCATTCCTTAAATCAGCAAGCACTTAATATGTTAGGTGCTTTGCTATACAGTTATCTTATTTCATTATACCTCTTAAGCAGTGGAATTGTCTCCTTTTGAAGGAGAAATTGTCTCCTCTTGAAGGTACCAAAGGAATAGTTAAAGAATAGTTAAGTAGTAGAGTTGAAATTTGAACCCACCCTCTTTGAGCATGGCCAAATGCTACATACAGATAGGTCAATTGAGAGAGTAACCAGTTTTTCACTTAGGTCTGTCGATTAGGTCATTGGTGACCTTTCTAAGAGCAGCTTCAGTGGAGTGATGGGGGAAAAGCCAGACTGAAATAGATTGAAAAGTGAGAGGCGAATAAGTGAAGACGGCATATCTTGACTATTTTAAAAAGCATGGCAGTAATGGGAAGGGGAAGAGTGTTGATAGCTGGAATGTAGTGCTAGTTGCGGGAAGGTTTATTGTTTTGTTTTGTTCTAGATACTAGAGATAATTTATGAAGAAGGAACCAGTGGAGAAAGGAGTATCTGAAAATGTAATCTGTTCCTTAGTATCCATGAGGCATTGGTTCCAGGACCACCCACCCGCCCCGATACCAAAATTTGAGTATTCAAGTCTCTGGTATAAAATGGCATAGTAATTTGGCTGGGTGTGGTGGCTCACGCCTGTAATCCCAGCACTTTGGGAGGCCGAGGTGGATGGATCAGCTGAGGTCAGGAGTTCAAAACCAGCCTGGCCAACATGGTGAAACCTCATCTCTAAAATAAATAAATAAATAAAATGGCATAGTATGTGCATATAACCTATGCATGTATACATTAAATCATCTGTAGATTACTTGTGATACCTAATACAATGTAAGTGCTATGAAAATATTGTTATACTTTATTATTTAGAGAATAGTGAAAAGAAAGAATAGCCTGTGCATGTTCAGTATAGTTGCAGTTTTTTTCTGAATATTTTCAATCCGTGGTTGGTTGAATCCATGAGGCAGAACCAACCAGACATGGAGGGTTGACTATATATGTGAAAGATTAGGATTAACCTTGAATTGTGGTGGGTTGGAGGTCTGTCTGTTACCAACAGGAGAGGGGGTATAGGTAAAGATGCTGATGACGTTAATAGAGGGTTGGTGGAAAATAGTTCTTTCCTGGTCCCCTAATGTTTTCTGAAACAAAGAAGGTTGAAATAAGAGGACTCACTGTTGTTTTGAGCTGGTATGCACCAGAGGGTCACTGTGTTTGCCTCACATGCATGTCCTCTCTTACACCTCTAATATCCCTCATGCAGTCTGGGTAAAGATGGCCTCATTTTACAGGCAAGGGAACAGACTCCGCAAGGTTAAGATACTTGATGAAATCACAAGCCCGCAAATTGCATGTCCATGTTAAGTATAGAGTTTTCATTCTTTTCTATTACATTATATACTGTGTCTGCTGAGTGAGAAGGGGCTGAGGTAGAGGTCTGGAAGGCAGGTGGAGTGGTTTTGTCCTTCCAAGTTCCATCTCCTTTCTCCTCTCCCTGTGGCAGTCAGCTCCTCCCTTCCTGGTTACTCTGACATATTCATGATTTACCAAAGAATTAAGGAGCTAGTTTCCTTCTTAACAAGTTCTGCTACTGTTCCAGCTGACTTTTTTTTTAATCCATCTGACTTTTATTTCCATGTCATTTGGGCTGCAAACTCCCATGGTTATACCTTAGAAATGTCTTCTGACAGAATTGTTCCATCACTAAAATCTTAGATTCTAGTGTTACTTCTTATCATCTTATAAACCTAGCCTGAGACCTCTTGGAGCCCTCTGGTTGCTGGACCTTTCCTTTTTGCTTGGTCAGTTAACCCTATTTACCTTCACTTTCTTCCCTGGATCTCTGCTGCCCATCATTTCACCCCGTTTGTGGTGCCATTTTGTTTTCCTGACTGTTCTGCAACCTTCTTCCCTCTCCCATCCTAGACCAGTAGAAGCACCTGACCTTTTTTTAAGTTTGTTGAGAGCTGTTGAAATTTAAAAGTGTTCTCAACAATGTGGTTTTGCCTTAATAGTTGTTGAAACTCAGTTGTGTCTTTAAGTCTATAAAAGCTAGACAACATTCTACACCCTTATATACAGGATAGCAGTTATTAGTTTGTCCACATCTGAGGTATGGCAGTATCAGTTTAAGCTGTATTGTTCATTTATGTCAGCATATATATGACTGTTCAGAAATTGTGTTTACACGATGTGGGCCATTTTAGTGCCTGTGGTAATTTTGGTTCTTCCATTGGTTAGGAACGGGATTTTCCAACAGAAACTGTTAAATTTGGTCCTGAACGCATGTATATTGATTGCTGGGTAAAAAAACACACCTATGACACCTTTAAGGAGGTTCTTGGATCAGGAATGCAGTACCACCTGCAGGTAAGTGTCATCCTTTCTATGAATTTGCTTTTAAATTAGGGAGCAGTCGTGAATGTAGCTCACTTAATTGGCTTTTGAATTAATTAGTTATTCAGAATGTTTCCACATGTCAGAAAACAGTAAACTTATTTTTGAAAGTAGAATTGAATAAACCTGAAACTGTTCCTTTTTTTTTTTTTTCTTTGTGTTGGGCAGGTCGGGTGGACTGTTACTGATGTCTGTAAGAAAGCAAATAGTTTGATATAGCTTTCTTGGATTCAGGGCATTGGAAAACAATTTGTTCTCAGTCTGAGAAACAGAAAATAAGTGATCCAAGTTTATATTTGTAGGTTCCACATAACTTCTGTTAATCAGAGTCACTCTAGCAAAAAAGAGCTATAATGTTTAATACTGAGCCTTACCACCTTTTTCTTCCACATAAGTCAAATGAATTCCTTCGAAATGTATTTGAACTTGGACCCCCAGTGATGCTTGATGCTGCAACGCTTAAAACGATGAAGATTTCTCGTTTTGAAAGGGTAGGTTTTATTTTTATTTTTCATAAAACTAAGTGGGCCAAAGCTTTGATTCTGTCTGGTGTCAGCAACTTAGCTGTGTCTACCTATATATGGAGTTTTAGTTTTTCATGATGCTTCACACAGAATAGCTGTACTAAAGGTGTAGAAAGCATTTAGAGTATAGGAGAGCTTTTATATACATATACATATATATATGTTAGCCTGGGTGATAAGAGTGAGACCTTTCTCAAAAGCAAAACAGAAAAAATACTGCTGCTTGTCTGCCCCATGAGGTATATTTTATTTTATGAAAGGCATTTTGACAATACATTAAAATTTAATATACATGTATATATTTTACCTATAATCCCATCTTAACATGGGAATGATGTTCATTTTTTGTTTCTTTTTATTCTATAAAGTTTTTATATTTAAGTATTTACATAGTCATTTTGTATCAGACAGTACTCTACTGAGTGAAGTACCAGACTTATTTTACAAATGAAGAAACTTAAGAGAGTTTGTAGCATTAAATAGTAATTAATATCATTTTTATTTAACATTTCTTTTTTTTTTATTTTGAGACAGAGTCTCACTCTGTTGCCCAGGTTGGAGCACAGGGGCTTAATCTCTGCACACTGCAACCTCTGCCTCCCGGGTTCAAGCGATTTTCCTGCCTCAGCCTCCTGAGCAGTTGGGATTATAGGTGTGGCCTACCATGCCCAGCTAACTTTTGTGTTTTTAGTAGAGTTGGAGTTTCACTATGTTGGCCAGGCTTGTCTGGAACTCCTGACCTCAGGTGATCTGCCCACCTTGGCCTCCCAAAGTGCTGGGTTTATAGTCATGAGCTAACATGCCTAGCCTACATTTCAAAAATCCTTAATTGTGTGTATTTTTTTCCTTGAGGTGAAATTCACATAGCAGACTGTTTTAAAGTATGCAACTCAGTGGCATTTACTACATTCATGATGTTGTACAACTCTGTCTAGTTCTAAAACATTGTCACCTCAAAAGTAAACCTCCTCTTCATTAGCAGTCACTTCCCTTCTGCTACCCCCAGCTACTGGCAGCCACTAATCTGCTTTCTGGTTTATCTGATTAATATGAAAAAGATTTACTTTTTCTAGGGATTTCATGTAAATGGAGTTACATAGCATGCAACCTTTTGTGTCTGGCTTTTTTCACTTAGCGTCTGGCTTTTTTCACTTAGCGTAATGTTTTGGAAGTTCATCCATGTGGTAGCATGTATCAGAGAGCTTTATTCCTTAATTGTGCAGAATATTATTCCATTGTGTGGATATATATATTACATTTTGTTTTATCCATTTAACAGTTGATGGACATTTGGGCTGTTTCCATCTTTTGGCCATTGTGAATAGTGTTGCCGTGAACATTCACATACAAGTTTTTTTTTTTTTAAAAGGCTCTTTCAATTTTGGGAGGTATTATGTAGGAGTGGAATTGTGTTGGGTCAGATGGTGATATTTTACATTTAACTTTCTCAGAAACCACCAAACTGTTTTCCATAGCTGCTATACCAGTTTGCATTCCCATCAGCAGTGTGTAAAGGTTCCAGTTTCTCCACATCTTCACTAATAACAATTTTAATTATAGCCATTCTGGTGGGTATGAAGTTGTTTAATTATATTTTTATAGAACCTGGATATTTTATCAGTTTTATATCTGCATAATTGTTTGTTGTTTGGTATTTTGAGTTTTTTAAGACATACTAATATTTTTACATATTTTTCTCTTTTGACATATTTTTTCGAAGAAATCCCCTGCATAATGTATTGGCAAATTACCTTCCAAAGTTATTCTAATATTGGAGACAATATTTAAATTGTCTCCAGCAAGGAATGAAGGCATGTAGCTCCTGCACAAAGATTTGACACCTTTGAGTTTTATAATTATAAACATTTGTTTATTTAATTGTTATTAAAATGACACCTCATCACTTTTTCCCTTGTTGTTTTAATCGACAACCAAGTAGGACTGTTTTCCACATTAGTTATTTGTCTTTTCTTGCATCAAACTAAATGTTGATGTCCTTTTTTCATTGTTGTTTGAAATTGTCTTATTTTCTTGGTGTTTTACAATTTCGTTAGTACTTTTCTTAATAAGGAATAGCCATGAACTCTTTGTTTTTCTCCTTCATTCTTTGTGTTTTATAAACATTTAAATGTGTTTTTTTGTTTTTGCAATGGAGTTTCACTCTTGTTGCGCAGGCTGGAGTGCATTGGCACTATTTTGGCCCACTGCAACCTCCACCTCTCAGGTTCAAGTGATTCTTCTGCCTCAGCCTCCTGCGTAGTTGGGATTACAGGCGCCTGCCACCATGCCTGGCTAGTTTTTGTATTTTTAGTAGAGACAGGGTTTCACCATGTTGGTCAGGCTGGTCTCAACTTCTGGCCTCAAGGGATTCACCTGCCTTGGCCTCCCACAGTGCTGGGATTGCAGGCGTGAGCCACTGCGCCCTGCCTTATTTAAATGTTTATAGGGTCAAGTTAGTTCATTTCATTTCTTTGTGACTTTTTGCCCTTTTTCTATTTTATAAGAATATCTTAAGTCTTACTGATACATGTTTTTCCTTTTCTTCATTTCAGCATTTATATAACTCTGCAGCCTTCAAAGCTCGAACCAAAGCTAGAAGCAAATGTCGAGATAAGAGAGCAGATGTTGGAGAATTCTTCTAGATTTTCAGAACTTGAAGACTATTTTCTAATTTCTATTTTTTTTTTCTATTTCAATGTATTTAAACTCTAAAGACAGTTTTTATCTTGGATTAACTTACATAACTTTTGTAGTAAGGGTTACATTGCTTATAATTTAATGTACAGTGTTGAAACTGGTGAGTTCTGATTATTATTCTCTGTAAATCAGTAAACATGTATAAAGTATTTGTAATGTTTGGTCATATTTTATTTATGAAGACAGCAAAAAAACTTTGATTTCATGATGGGAAAAACTATTAGCCAAAGTTTAATTTCTTACACTGTGGTTGTCAAAAATACTGATTTACTATAATGATATATACATTTAAGATATTTAACTTACTATCTTAGACAAGAGTTCTAGGTACAATTTTGGAATCTAGTTCCTCTGGAAACGCTGCTGTTTTTTAAATTTTGAATGGAATGTAGCTTTTAAAATTTTGTCACTAGCATCAACAAAAGGAATTATACCGTGAGACCTTACAGCCGTACTTAAAAGCCACACAGTTGAGCTATTGGGAGTTCATGATGAGTTAGCGTATGCCAGAAAGGTTGCTAACCTTAACCTCTAAGAGCAGTAACACTGATTTTATCTGCTGTATGAGACTGTGCATTTTACTTTGAAATAAAGTTTTTTTTTTTCACATGGAATGTGCTTCTTTTCTAATAGAAGAAACTTTATTTATGGCTTTGAGGTACAGAGTTCAAGTTGACTAGGCCAGGTGGGCAAAGAGACAAAGCTTTATGTGTATATTTGCAAACATTAAAGCAGTTGAAAAGAATATAGCAATATGTAGTTGGGATTAAGGTTTCTGACTTTCAAGAATATTGCTGCTTGATACCTGTAATCATAGCAGTATGGGAGGCTGAGACGGGAGGATGACTTGAGCCCAGTTTGAGATCGGCCTGAACGACAGCAAGACCCTGTCCCTACTAGAAATTAAAAAACTGAGCGTGGAGGTGTGTGCTTGTACTCTTTACTTGGGTGCTGAGGCAAGAGATAGCTTGAGCCCAGGAGGCCAAAGCTGCAGTGAGCCGTGACTGTGCCATTGCACTCCAGCCTGGGTGACAAGTGACACCCTGTCTCAAAAGCAAAACAAAAAAGAATATTAATGCTTGTTTGCCCCATGAGGTATATTTCTTCCATTTTATGAAAGGCATTTTGACACATTAATTAATAAACTTTAGTTTAAAATGTATAGTACGAGCAACGTGCCATTTCAAATCCATAGACTTGTTTCTTCCATACTCTTGCTATAGATTACAGTGAGGGCTATGGAAGCATATACATTGTAGAGAGAAGTATCAAAATCATTTAAGGTCTTTTTTCCAAACTAGTGTTCCTCTCCCACATTGCAACAACTCTTAGAAGTCTGGTGCTGCTCCTTGGTGAAAATCATTTGCTGGCTTATGGAGTCACTGTTGCTGAGTTCCATCCCCCAGTTACAGTGCAATGGAAAACATTTGGAATCTAGAAGTTGTATGTTGTCACTTGGTTATATTCCAAATAGGTTAGAACCATGGAAAAGAGACTGCAAATGGTAGGTAGTTTATTCTAGATATGCAATTGCACATATGTATGTGTATGTAATTTTAAATGAATTTTTGAATATGAACATAGGCTTTTGCTTTTGAGACAGTCTCACTCTGTTGGTCAGGCTGGAGTGCAGTAGTGCAATCAGCTCACTGCAACCTCTGCCTCCTGGGTCCAAACGATTCTCCTCCCTCAGCCTTCTGAGTTGCTGGGATTACAGGTGTGTGTCACCACACCTGGCTAATGTTTTATATTTTTAGTGGTGATGGGGTTTCACCATGTTGGCCAGGCAGGTCTCGAGCCCCTGACCTCAAATGATCCTGCCTTGGTCTCCCAAAGTGTTGGAATTACAGGCATGAGCCACCATGCCCAGCTTGAACATAGTTTAGTGGTACTACAAAGCTAATAAGGAAAACCCCTTGCTCCATCCTTTTCCATTCCTTAGTCCCATCCCAGGAGACATTCAGCCTTCAGTTTTCAGCCTTGTTTTCTGGTTTCAGGTTTCTAAATAATACGATTATACAGCCATTTATTTTTTAGGCATTTGTCAACTTACTATTAAGACAGATCAAAAAAATTTTTTCCTTTCACATCCTTCTAATACTATTTGCATAACTGTGATCATACTTGTATGTTCACTTGTGAACTAGTTTAATGTGCTTACATTTTCATTTTCATGCAACATTTTGTCTTGGAGTTAACTGTCTTATTTTTTGGCTTTATATGCACATCATTTATTCTTCCCAAACAGTCCCAAATAGATTTGTTGCAACTTTTCTTGATTCAATGCTTGTTTCAATCTAGACTAGTTTCTCATCCAATTAACAGCAGTTGTTCTGAGAGAGCGATCATGAGGATTTGTTTTTCTTTCTTCTGAATTGGATCCCTCATTTTCTGGATCCCATGTCTTAATTTACTTCTTTGTTAATATGAAGCACTTCTTTCAGTAGCTTCTTGGGAATGAGTGCATGAACGGTCAGCTATTCTGGAACTTCATCATATTTCTGCAAGATAGTTTGCATGGTATATGAAATTGTAGGTGGAAAATCCAAATTTGGAATTTTTGAAAATTTTGACGTATTCAAAATCAGAATTTTGACGGCATTAATTTGCAGAATCTTGAGATACCTGTTGCAGTTTTTGTTTCTTTGTTTTCTCAGAATCTCTTTGTTTCTGGTGTTCTAAGATTGCATGATGCTGTGCTTTGGTGAGCTTGGCAACCTGGAAAATACTGAGTTCTTGATTTCTCCCCTTCCTCCTCATTTTCTTTGCTCTGGAACTTTATGACATAGTGGAGCTCCTAAATTGAGCCTTCAGCCTTATTATTATTATTTTTCTCTCTCAGATATTTCTCTAAGACAATTTTCCAATGTTTATTGCATTTTATTTTTGGCTAAAATTAAATTACTTGAATTCTGCAGGGTCAGTCCGACTGTCATTCATCCGTGATAACCCTGCTAGCAAATACCACTCTTACCATGTTCAATACATTTGTGGAGCTCTTCAGTATTGTTTCTTCCTATTTTAATTTTTCTGGTTTTTTTTTTTTTTTTTGAGACTGAGTCTTGCTCTGTTACCCAGGCTGGAGTGCAGCGGTGCAATCTTGGCTCACTGGAACCTCTGCCTCCTGGGTTCAAGTGATTCTTCTGCCTCAGCCTCCCGAGTAGCTGGGATTACAGGTGTGCGCCACGGCTCCTGGCTACTTTTTTTTTTTTTTTTTTTTTGGTGTTTTTAGTAGAGATGGGGTTTCGCCATATTGGCCAGGCTGGTCTTTAACTCCTGACCTCGTGATCCACCCGCCTTGGCCTCCCAAAGTGCTAGTCTGGTTTTGTAATTTGTACCCCTGCTTTTTACTGGGGTTTTGGGAAGAAGACGATATAGAGGGTTAATCTGTGTGTTGAATTTATATGTGGGTGACTTTATTCATGAAACTTGTAACTGCTAGATAAGGATGGCTGGGTGTTGTGTAAGAATGCTTGTGTTGTCTTGAAAGTAGAAAAATGATGTGTGATAGACTAGTCGTTTCTTGCTTGATTCTTGATTAATCTTGTCCACTTAAATTATTTTGAGGCTCAAGCATTTTGAAGTATTTAATGTCTGTGACTCACTCGTCTTTGATGGGTACTGAATTTCCTGAGAGTGAATTTAGATACCCTGAGATGTAATACATGAAAGAAAAAGCCAGAAATACTTGAGAATGTCCCTAGATCAGACACTTCATGTGAGAATATCTCTTTTTGTGTCCCAAAACTCTTTTTGTTTTGAGACGGAGTTTTGCTCTTGTTGCCCAAGCTGGGGTACAATGGTGGGATCTTGGTTCGCCACAACCTCTAGCTTCCGGGTTCAAGCAATTCTCCTGCCTCAGCCTTTCGAGTAGCTGGGATTAACAGGTATGTGCCATCACGCCTGACTTATTTTGCATTTTTAGTAGAGACAGAGTTTCTTCATGTTGGTCAGGCTGGTCTCGAACTCCTGACCTCAGGTGATCCGCCTGCCTCAGCCTCCCAAAGTGCTGGGATTATAGGCATGAGCCACTGTGCCTGATCCCAAAACTCTTCTTAAAGGTGGCCATGCAGGTACGTTATAGTTAAAATGAAGTAAGTTGTCTTGCTTTGTTGTTAAGTGGTTCTCCAGAAATCTTAACTGGTGTAAAGTCATTCTTATCCCCCTCATTGGTATATAGTTGAATTCAGACTTTAATGTGAGGTTTGGGTTTAAATCTCATCTCTGCCACTTACAATCAGTGTATCCCTTAACAATTAAATTCTTTAGTCTCCTAAAATTTTCTTTTTTCTAAAGAAAATTCTCTTTTCTTCCTCTTTCAGGAAAGGCTAATATTTCACAAAGTTAGAAGATTACAGGAGAGAGGAAAAATAGTAAATGCCCAAAAACGAGGCAGCTACTTCTATTACATCTTCGAAGGATAGATGGCTTACAGCAGATCAGGTAGTTGGGAGATTACTTAAAAACAGTATAATAGCTAACATGAACACTTTAATTATTCAGAAAAATTTGGCATAAATTTTTAATGTATAATTCGTTTCTGATAAAAGTTACTATTCTCTAGTTATATTGTCTTCCTCTCTTACACTAGGTAGCATGAAGAAAAAAAAAGTGACATTCGCCTTCCCCCAAAGCAGAATGAGGTCCATATGGGACATAGGTATAAAGAAAATTTGGGGCCGGGTGCAATGGCTCATGCCTGTAATCCCAGCACTTCGGGAGGCTAAGGTGGGTGGATCACTTAAGGTCAGGAGTTTGAGACTAGCCTGACCAACATGGTGAAACCCTGTCTCTACTAAAAATGCAAAAATTAGCCAGCCATGGTGGCACATGGCTGCAATGCCAGCGACTTGGGAGGCTGAGGCAGGAGAATTGGGAGGCAGAGGTCACACCACTGCCACACACTGTCACACCACTGTAATGCTGGGATCACACCACTGCGCTCCAGCCTGGATGACAGAGCAAGACTCCGTCTCAAAAAAAATTTTGTGGAGCCCATATTTTCTCACTGACATGAAAAATGTTTCAAAGATGGAATACTGTTCATCAAGCCATGGCAATGGAAGTGAGGATATTGGATTGCATAACTGTTTACAACCTCACTGTTAGTATCCTGCTTGGATAGTTGGTCTCATCACTGTAGCATCTTTTATGTACAGCAGAGGGCAGAAGCTCCTTGGCATGTATGTGAGGGAACCACATAAATGGCCGATTTTCCTGAGAAAGGAGGATGTACAAACACTCACAGAATAAAGCCTTTGTAAAGGAAAGGCAGCTGATGAGATGGAGTGCTTCCTTCATCCGCAGTGGGTCTGTAGTCACGAGCTCTCCCACTCGCAATCACTTTTTGTAGCTACTGGACACACTAGGCATCTGACCTGCCGTCTTCCTTGTTTGTCATGTCATAACCATATTCTGTCCTTGTTTATTGCAGTTCTCTGGTTAGTCTGGAGTGTTTGCAAGTTAGTCTTCATAGTGGCAGCTCCTGCCTGCTACAGGACATTTATATATGAGAGCATACCATGGCAGGAATGCTGGAAATATGGTGTCAGCTTACACAGTTGCTTCAGCCAAATAAGGGCAGTAACTTCAGTCCAATAAAAGCCTCATCACTTACCAACTAAATCAGGGCATGGTATTTTTTTCTTTTTAAAGCATAGTTTTAGTAATATATTTACTGAAAACCTTAGACATTATGAAAAAAGTCAGGATTTGGAATCTTACACTGCTTGGCTAAATTAACACTAAATATAGACCAACAGTTTCATGCTGGGGCTTATGGGCCTCATAGGAGCACCCGTATGCTGAAGAAAGGCAAAGAAAGAACTACAGAATTTGTAGAAAAGTTCTGTTGTAGTCACTTCTGAACAATTCGTTTTTTTTGTTTGTTTGTTTGTTTGTTTTCTGGTAACCTAGCAGTCAAAGCTCACATTTTTGTAAGTAATTTGCATGCTATTACTCTACTGAGACTGAATTATGATTGTTGAGTTGGGAAGTTTTTGTTGCATGAGCTCTGTGTTTTTCATTTTTGATAGAAATGATTTAGACTTGATTTTAAAAACTACTTCCTGAATGTGAAGAGGCATTGACTCGGAGATGAAATTAAAGAACAAATTACCATGACTCACTCCATAGAGCTGCTTATTAGCTTTGAATTAAGCCCTATTATAACAATTCCAATTTCGTGGCAAGCAATACTGGTGTGGGTTATTTCTATGGTTTGATACCAAGCACCCATGGGAAAAAAATAAAGCACAAGGCAATTTTTCATAGACTATTTATTTATCAGCATATTTATTTGTAAATAGTCAAAGAATTCTTAAATGACAAAAAGAACCAGCTGTTAGCAGTGATCTAAACCAGAGGAAAATGAAATTACTTACATGTTTCCACTCAAGGTATAAGAGTTCTGTTAAAGTGATGCTGCTTTAGCCAATCTTGGTGAATAAGCAAATTTTTACACTGGAGTTGAAAAGGAGGGTCAAGTTGGTGTGATGAAGAACTGCTGGTAACACTGGCTTCTCCAGCCTTGCTGGTTGTTCCTAGATGCCCTCATTTTGAGATGCCAAAGATAGCAACTCTGGGGTGTCAAACAGCTGTGGGGCCTGGTTTTAGGGCCATGTGATCTTGTATCCATTTACCAGCAGACTCATGAGTCATTTGCAAGTCATTTGTAGGCTCTTGGAGTCCTGGAACAGCAGCCAACTGTTTTCTCTGCTACTTCTTTGTTTTTCCATTGGCATGTTGCAGTTTATTTTAAAAAATTGGAGTAGCATCTAGTTACATTGTGACTTCGTTCTAAAGAAGACATTTTCTTTCAGAACATGTCATGGCTCACTAGGTTGTTGTCTTAGTTCTTTTGGAGTCACCTTTTGAGCAGATAGCAAGGCCAGTAATTTGGAGATGTTATTAGCTGTACTCTTAAAGTCAGTTTTTGTGGCTGTGATTTTCTAGCTAGGTCTCCATTTTGTAAACATTGATTAAACCTCAGCATGAAATTTAAGCAACAGTAGATACATTCCTGAAGGGGAAGCTAAGGCTCAAGGCTATTAAGTCAGAGATCCAAAACTGAACCATGCTTCAGTTACCACGCCTAAAATAGAAGCTGTGTGTGGGACAATGGTCCTGTGATGTGACACATAAAACTTTTATTCCTGGTTAAATATTCGTGTTTGGTAAAATATTAGTATAAACAGATGGTAAAATACAAAACACATCTAAACGAATTGTTCTAAAATCTGTGACTATGTATTAGTCAATATTTTGGGGCCTTGGTTTTAACTGCAAAAGGTTAAGATCTGACCGACCTCTAAGTCCCTTTTACTCTATTTGCTGCAGCTTTTTCATTTTTTTTAAATTGTCATATCAAGTCATTTCCTTAAGAATGCTGTATGCAGTATATTTGGAAATCAGTAATACCCACAAAGTGCTACAGTAGTATCTTATCTGAAAACTCAGGGAATTGTGTGTTCTTGTTAATTAAACGTTCAGGATAAGTGAAACACACTTTTTTAGTTTTAACTCTAAAAAATAATTTTAGTCATGAATTTTTGAGCTCTCTTTCTTAGCTAGGATCTGGTAGCACATTTTTCACAAGTACCAGTAGTTTTAGGTATTACTGGGAAATTGCTCTTTTTAAAAAAATATTTTAGAGTACAGTTTAAGTTGCTCAGTAAATGTCTGATACTTTTTTCCACCATATCTTATTTAGATGTATACCTTTTTTTTTTCTGAATTTGGTTTCTTCCAACTCTATATTTCTCTTCATTTTGTAGTTTAGTTTTAAAGGAAATTTTTGCAATAACAGGAAGTAAACAGTTTGCTGCCAAATATGCGCAGGCACGGTATTTGCTGCATTGACTTTACTAGAATCCAGATAGCCATCACATGAGAATTTTTATCCTCAGTCTTATTTCTGTTCATGTACTTATGATTAGCTGCCTCTAATTCTTTTGAAAATAGTAAGATTTAAATCCTGAATAAACATTTCAGGTGTTCCATCTTAACAGAAGTCACCAACTTCTAAACCTGGCACTGGGTGTTTGAAGAATTGGATTGGTCCCTACCCTAAGGAGTTTTCAGTCTATTGGGTAAATCAAAGGTGGAAGGAAATAAATGCAATAAAATACTATAGGTGTTCTGATAGAAGAATGTACAGAATCCAGCAAAGGCACCAAGGAAAGACAGGTTGGTTCTCTCTTCTTAGGGGAAGTGATGTTTGAGCTGAGTCTTGAGGGAGGATTAGGAAGGGGTATAGAAAAGGAAAGTGGCACAAAGCAAGACTCAGTGAATGCTGAGCCAAAGGCCCAATTCCAGCTCTGCTACCAGGCAGATGTGTGATCCTGAGCATCTACCTAGCCGAGTTTCCATTTCATCATTTGTGGAAAGAATGGGGCTAGACTAGAGCACATCCAGCACCCTTTCTAGATCCAGAAGTCCCCTACCATGATTAGACTCAATAACCATGAAAGGAAAAGCTTTTATAGTAATTAAAATTTGTCTTTCTAGAACCTTTTCAATTAAATGGCCACAAGTTCTCTGTTGCGCTAGAGATACATCTTTCTCTAACCTACCCCCTTTTTCTAACCCTTAATTTATGGGTTAGAAAACTTTTTAATCTCTTCAGTCTTTTCAGTGTTGCTTACAGTTGTGCTGTCATTAGAGAATATTTCCTTTAATATTTAATAAGCCTCAAGCTATTTATTACATAAATGACCGCAGTCTAAGGGAAATCCAGGTGGAAGAGATCTCAGAGGTCCTGAAGTCTAGCAGGATTCCTCTCTATAGCATCTAAGTTTGCTACGATTGTTGTCTTGGGGACTCACACTCAGTATCTAATGGCTAAAGGTAATGTGTGAAGTAAGGACTTATATGCCATAGGAAGGAGGCTATAAAAACTGTAATTTTCTATTAAAGCCTCCTGCAATTAGAGCGGTTCATGGCAATATTCTCTTCTTTCAGAATGTTTTATGGCCACTGGCTGACTAGCTTAATTTTGTCTATGTATTTATACTTAGTCTTCTTGCACAAAGGATTTGAGGCATCTCACCAGAATATGAACAATGTAATAAAAGAGAAAAATTAAAAAATCAGTTACAAAATAAAAACAGATCCAGAGAAGATAAAGGCAGAACTGAGAAATCTGAGGAGGAGAAAAGAGCGTTTGCATATAAGCAGGGTATACACAGATACATAATTCTTAAAATTGGGCCACACATTTGACTGTGAGCTTCCTGGCAAGCAAAGCAAAAAGAACAATTACAAAGTGGTCCACAAAAGGAAATATTTTCTCCTGGATAAACAAAGTTCTCTAGAACCTTAGTTGAAACTAGTATTTGTGGGTGGTTCTTCATAGGCCTGTCTGGCTTCCTGCTGGCTGTGATTCTTGTGAAGTTGAGTTTACAAGCCCAACCTTTTGTTTTTAACATCAGTGTTTTCTTCCAGGGACAATGACTCATTCTTCCCAGGACACTGGCTCTTGTGGCATTCAGGAAGATGGAAAGCTTTATGTGGTGGATTCCATAAATGACTTAAACAAACTAAACCTCTGTCCAGCCGGATCACAGCATCTGTTCCGTATGTGTGCTGGGGAAGGTGGGGCGGCCCTTCCTAGCTTCTAGGCTACCTAAAAATAGCCACTGCTGACTGGATGTGTGGGTGTGGTGGGGACTGAGCGGACATTAAGAAGAGGTTGGCACTGGAAATGTTATTTGTTGTTAGGCAATTTTTGCTTTTGTTTTCTGAATATTTGACAGGATTATGGGCTTTCTTGGCTCTTACAAAAGATTTGAACTCTTGTCTTCAAATATTCTGAGATCCTGTGCCGTTTCTGTCCCGGGAAAGGAGTGGAGCCTTGCAGAGCTGGACTCCTGGAGGCTCGTTCGTCCTTCTCCTAGTGGCCATGGCTAGGATATTGATGGGGACCACTTCCCACAGGAGTGTTGTTTTATAGCAGATTGCTGCGAGAATGCTCAACACATTCACCCAGTTTTTTAAAAAAACATTAAAATTCTGTTGGGCAAAAAAGTCAACTTCATTTTCTACTTACAAGTTACAAATCATGCAGTTAGGGGTTAGGAAAAGAGGGTGGGGGAAACAAAATAAAACCTGCTAAATACTAAATGTGTATTTTGCCTCCTAAGTATTATAAATGAGCTCTATCAGACCACTCTGAGCACCATCGTTTCTAGCTTAAACGGTTACATTCAAACACTGGCGTTAATTACCCACTCGCCATTTGTTTCACATGCACTCTAAACTGATTGTCGCAATTTTATATCTATCATTTGCTAAGTCCTAAGTTCCTTCTTTTTTTCTTCATTTTAATAAGTTCAAATTTTCATCTGTTTTTATTGCAGTCAGTCTCAACTACAGTAGAAGCTTGGGTGTCAGCCTATGCTGTTGCTTTGATTAGGAAGCAAAAGTGGCTGAAGGGTATGACATAGGACGTACTTACAAGGCATGATAAACCACCCATCTGTCTGTAATCAAGTGGCACCATGAGTGGGACCAATTCAATGCAGGATGCAAAAAGTAATCTAATGATCTCCACTACCCCAGGTTTCTGTGTTGCTTATTCAATTTAATCTGGGTGTTATTAGGCCACTAGACCTTACAAAATGGTGATTAAATGTGGACAATTCACGGTTTGAGTGAACCAAGCTGTTAATTAAACCCAGCTGCATTCTCAGTTCAACTGCACAACATTTAAAAGAACCTTGCTTCCAGAGCATTCCCACCCAGAAGACAGCTTTAAGAAACCAAAAGATGTCAGAGCCATTTCTATTTAAAGGGATGTAGGCTTAACTGATCATTCCTATAATAAAAGAAGTTACCAGGGAGATAGTCCAGAACTTTCAGTTGAATCTTCCACCCAACATAGGTGTCGCACAGCCAGCTCTGTTTTACTCTGGGGTTACTTTGGGAAAGGGTAAAACAACTTCTATCACTCTTACCCTTTAAATTCTATATTCTCTTCCCCCCACCCCCCAAAATCTGTGTCCTGCTACTTCAGTGTTAAGACAGTCTTCAAAGAACTTTCCAAACAGGCCTAAGGAGATAGGTTAACCCTGCTTATTCCTTGAATACCAATAGAGAAGAAGGTAAATAATTCACAAATTTCGCTCTTCCCAAAGACATTCCTAAAACAGAAGTCACTTTCTAGGCTTGTCAGAGGGAAAGTGGGTGTATGCATTACTCGTGGTCTAACAGTGGGGCACTGTTCAGTTCTGCTGACAAGCTGTGTGCTGAGGAGTTTTTGTCCTTGTTTTTTGTTTGTTTTGTATTAGCTCTAGAGGATAAAATCCCTGTCCTTGGCACAAACTCAGGAAATGGAAGCCGGAGTCTGTTTTTTGTGGGGCTGCTAATTGTGCTGATTGTCAGCCTGGCACTGGTTTTTTTCGTGATATTTCTAATAAGTAAGTACCACCACAGGTTTTTTTATTATTACTATTACTTGTATGCATTTATTCACAGCTGGTTGTTTAACTTTGCCCCTGGAAAGCTTGCACCCTCTCGTCAATGCTTTCTGGTGATCAGTGTTTACACTGAAAGAGGAAGAAGGAATGCCTCGTGTGAACCCCCTGGCTGAGGATAGGGTCCCTTGGGTACAAACTCACTGCAGAAGCCCACAGTGCCAGAAGTCCATGAATATGTATGTTAAATATTTCTATAGTACTTTAATTTCTCACTTGGAGCCTCTAGCTGCCCAATGGAAGGCAACTTATTCTAGTTGATTCTAGGTTTTCTTTATCCAGTGCCTAGATGTCTCCATTAAATTCAGATCTATAACACATAGCCACATTGAGGTTTCGAACTGAACTCACTCCCAGGTTTTCTCACTTGCCTATCATCCTTCACGTCAATTAGAAGCACTTGCGGGCTTGTGCAAGGCCCCAGAGACGGTGTTGGAGATGTAGAAAGGTGGCTTGCTTCCAATTTGATCCTGTCCAGGCAACCTGCTCCTACTACAACCTGCTCTGTCTGCTCCTGGTCTGGGCCATGCATGTTGTGACCTTGAGTGGCGACTCAGGCTTGCCCACCACAGCTTCTCAGTCAAGAGATCCTTCGAGCCTCCAGTGCTACCCTCCTCTCTGCCTTGGATGTGGGAAGGGTGCTGTCCACCTGTGGTGCTGTCCCCATTTCCCCCCCCCCCACCCCGTTCTGAGCACTGCCTCCTCCCACGGAGCCCACCAGTTTCCTCTCTCATCTGAAATTATTTGGATTCTCTTCCAGATGATTTAAGAGCAGGAGGGGCCTCAGGGAGGGTGTCATTTTTGACACCTTTTTGCCTGGGTGCACTGCCCTGTCATTTCTTTCACCCTTGAGTGCTTTGTAGCCTTTGGAAGGTCTCTAATTTAATTTCATTCAGGATTAGAGGAGTCAGAGGTGATGATGATAAGAGGAGACAGGTGGGCAGAGTGCATGACACTTTCACTGCTTCTAATCCTGTTTCTTCCCCCCAAGGACTCCTCCCTCCTTGCAGCTTGAAGAGGAGAAAAGGGTTGGGACTGGGAGGGAGGAGTGGGTTTAATTGCTTCTCTTGCTCCTGGCTGATGCCCTTCTGCATTTAGAAGCTAACATGTGAACTGTTTTTACAGTAGTTGCAAACTTGCACCTGATTATCAATTAGGTGAGGCTTGGCAACTGAACCTGAAAGAGCACATGGGCTAGTATTCTGAACCGTTACGTTATTCCAACATAAATTAATGCTTGGCATGTCATTCTGCCACACCTGCCTGGGGGTAATGACCGAGTTAAACTATTAGGAAACTTTAGGTATGTCTACAGACATGTAAACACCACCCCCCGACTAAATTCTCTTTTCTGTGAGATGATAAATAGCAAGATTGAGGGAAATAATACCAAATGCTAGATACAGAGTCGTTACTCTGTTCCAGACACTGTGCTAAGCCCTTGATGCCTCTTTGCTCACAATCTCATAACAACTCTGTAGTGTATAGTCCATTATTATTGTTGTTATTATTATTTAAGATGGAATCTCACTCTGTTGCCCAGGCTGGAGTGCAGTGGCCCAATCTCGGCTCACTGCAACCACCACCTCCCGGTGATTCTCCTGCCTCAGCCTCCCAAGTATCTGGGACTACAGGTGTGCACCACCATGCCCAACTAATTTTTGTATTTTTAGTAGAGACAGGGTTTCACCATGTTGGCTAGGCTGGTCTTGAACTTCTGACCTCAGGTGATCTGCCCGTTTTGGCCTCCCAAAGTGCTGGGATTATAGGCATGAGCCACTGTGCTCAGCCAAATCCATTATTATTTTGGTTTTACCAATGGTGAAACTGAGGCTTACAGAGCTCTATTAATGTGCCCAAGGTCATGTTGTTAATAAGTACCAAATTGGGGCTCAAGGACACTCTACTTGATGTCAAAGACTATGCACTTTATCAACATTATTATATTCCACTTGTATAAATAGGATTTGTTTTATATTTGCCTTGAGTGTTTTTTATTGAGGACAAAGTCATATTAAGTGAGAAACGGAAAGATGAGGTGAATAAAGAAGAGTGTTTTTTATTGGGCAATTACTTTGTGTTAGATACATCAAGTTTATTATCTTAAATCCTTCCTCTAGCCATCTTAGAAAATTTAACTCTGATAATCAGACCTCAAAAGTGTTCCATTCTGTATCTTATTGCCAAAAGTCCTGTGTATTTGAAAAATATTGTTCTTTCATTCTCATGCATGGTCTGAGGGGGAATATTACGCATTCATTTTGGACTGGTAATTCAGCACCAGCAGACTTATGTCAAAATAGGCTAGAACCCAAAGAATATAATTTCTCAAATGAGGAACAAAAACCTTTTTCTGAGAATGGGTCTCAAAATAAAGCAACATAGCAATCACATCTGGGAGAATAATCAAACATGCTGACAGTTTCTTTTGGTCACTCACAGCGAGGTCTTTCTTAGTCATAATTGGTGTGAAGTTGCCAAAGGTAGTCTAGGCTGGCACCAAGAGGTTGTAAAAACAATTCAATGGAAGGCAACTTCAGTGTTCACCAGTTTCTTTCCTGGGCTTCTGGGATGCATGGATATGGGAACAGGGTTTTTGCCAAGAGTATCACTCAGCATCAGCTGAGCACCAACATGGGGCTCTGATGAATTTCATTGGCACACAGTGGAAACCAATTTAACACAGTCTGTTTTCTATTTTGAAGTTCAAACTGGAAACAAGATGGATGATGTGTCCAGAAGACTAACAGCTGAAGGAAAAGACATAGATGATCTTAAGAGAATCAACAACATGATCATAAAGCGACTCAACCAGCTGGACTCTGAACAAAACTAGAGAAATGATTTTCTGAGAGCAGCTGCTAACACCTTGAGCTTCTTACTTTCCTAGGAGTGTACAGGGTTAGGAACTGAGAAAGTGCACTTCTTCAGGCAACAGATAATCTGGTCAGGGACCCCAGCTCTGGGGCCCTCTTTCTGCAGCAGGGTGGGAGAAACTCTAAAGCAAGTGGGTGTGGGAATAGCAACTAGAAAGGGGTGAACTTGTCTCAGCCCCATTTCATGGTAGGGCACTTCAACTTGAATTGGGTTTTTGGTGGGTGGCTAGTAGGGAGGAGAACCAACAGAAAGCAAGAGAACTTGACTATGTACGTACAACTTCTTACAGAAGGAGCTTTGCTACCAGAACAAATTCACTTTGTCAATGAGGTTCATGACACCTCATGCGCCTTTACAGATGCCTGGGAGAGCCTGAGAGAAGTTTTATATGTTGAAGGGAACCAGGTGATTACTCTTTTCAATAAAAGGGAGTCTGCTTAGGTGATTAGACTTTGACTATTTTCCCAGGGACAGCGATGGGTGGGCCTCAAAGCTAGTTGCTGTCTAGTGTTTGCTGGTGAAAACATGAGCAGTAGTTATGTGGGGTTGGGGTCAAAAGGGAAAGCCTAATTAATTTAATGTTTATTAAGCTCCTACTCTGTGCAAATCACTCTCCTCTAGAGGAGCTTACATAAGTGTGCATGATAAAGAAAGGAGATGGATAGTTGCATATAATTACATAAGCTTTGTTTACCTTGTTTCTCATGAAAAAACCCCTTTGGTACCCTGCAGATTGATTTGGAAGAAATCTGATAGATTTGTGGCCTTTGCTAAACTACACTAGGAAATTATGTAGTTAGAATATTTGGAACCTGTATTAATTTCAGGAATGAAAGTAAGGTACACAGCATATGAAATAAGATGCAGTGTGAAATAAATGAGTTTGAAAAGCATATGAGTCTTAGAAAATATTTTATTTAATATCAATATATTCTACCAGTCAATTGAAGAATGTATTGTGATTCTATCATTTTGGCTTGATCAAAAACATTTGGGTTTACTAGGATATTAAACATTCACTTTATAACACTAAATAGTTAATGAAATAATACATTTTGCTTATCCATTTTTGCACTCAAAAACTATTTGTACTGAACTCTTTTTTGACTTTTTTTTAATTGTTACATATCGTGCAGAACATTGTTAAAATCTGAAATTTGCAATTACTGGACAACCGTTTTTGACCTGTTGGTAGGGTATGGCAAAAATTATTTGTCATCATGATTTGTTGTAAGGTTGTTTCAGAAACTGATGATCTGATGTAACAACTCTTAAACCACCCGTTTTCTTTCCTTTCTGTTTGCTCTTATTGTACTTTCCTCTCTTTTCTATCTAAACAGTGGATACATTTCATCCTCAGAAATGTATGGTTTTTACAACATAAAATAGTGTCTGATAAGTCATTTGATTCATCTTTTTGGATCCAGTGTTTTTGATCTGTACTGTCCTGCCTGTATTGCACAGACAAAGGTATGGTGATGCCTCTGATCCTCACAGCCTGGGAAACTTCAGTCACCACAACTCCTGGTATTAGATATTGGATTCACAAATTAACATCTTCCATTGAACGTGTTTAAAAAGCATTGGCTGTCTACAGATAATCTGATGGTAGTCAAATACAGCGGTTAAGAACATGGGCTTGGGGACCAACATCCTGGTGTGAATTCTGGTGCCACCACATACTGTGAATTTGGAGAAATTAGCTTCTTTAATTTTTTGTTTTCAGTAAAATTGAATAATTAGAAAATCTATTTCCTAGTATTGCTATAAGGCTTAAAAACGTTATAAAGGACTTAAAAGGGTATCAAAAACCAAGTACTCAATAAATGTTAATTGTTATTATAATAATTATTATTGTTAAAAGTAGTAGGTGTGGCATAGTGGAAATACTCAGCTACACTTAAACCCCTATTGGTGGGGCTAAGGGCCAAACATTTTTTCTGTGGCACGGTTTAAGATGATAACCACTCTGATCTCTTCTGATCAAGGTTGAGGGGATGAGAGTCTTTTAGCAAAATAACTTGTTAAGTTACCGTGTAAGAGGAGATCAGTATAAGCAGGAGGGTTTGTTGTTTTCCAAGTGATCTAGTCTGAAGAACATAGGGATCCACATTCACCTACCTGCAATGGAGCCAGGAACCTGTCTGCCCTGGGCTAAGGGCTTGACCCACAGGGTGCACTGGGAGGAGGGAGTGGGACACTAAAGGTAAGGCCCAGGAGGAGCAAAAGGAATAGAAGGGACAGCTAAACCAAGACACGTATTGATAGGAAAAGAAAAGACAGTTTTGCACCATTCTTTGGACTTCGGTGGTGTTCACAAGAGTCTGAGAGAGAGATGATTGTTCTAGTAACAGCCTTTATCTGTGTGCCCTTCCTGATGTTGCCAGCCATTATGAGAGGATCACACATGTCTTCTGACTCCAGGTCCAACGCCATGTACTTAGTATTCTACCATGAGGACCCTGGAAGAACTTTCCTGTAGCCCCATAAATTGTTCTGTCTTGGTGACTACCTATAGGCGGGCCTGGCCCAGTCTTGCATACCACACACTGCTGTGATACCTGGAGGCTGTTGGGGCTTGGGGCTACCTGGAACTAGGAGGGCCTGGCTTCTAGTAAGGCCACTGAGCTGCAACTTAAGGGCACAGGGTACTTATCACTCAGGAATAGACCAGGGTCATCTGGCCAGGACTCTGTCAATGAGCACCAATCTCCAAACCAAGAGCAAAGCAACAAGAAGATATGAAAATAACACAAAACAACTGTTTTGTTCTTGGTAACAATAGCCTGGGGAAAATGAAGAATCTCGGTGTGCATGCCATTTGGACTAACTGAGGTATCTTGGAATATATTTTGCAAACCATCATGTTATAACCAATTTTTATTGCTTAGAAAGAAAACTTTAATGGAAACAAGTTCTCCTTGAGTCAGGGCATGAAAATAATTTTATTTCAGCTTAACATAATGACCCTATTTATATTCAGGAGAGAAGGATAAGCAAAAGAGATCGATCATCAGAAAAGACTGGTAATCTATCGCCTCTGTGAATGAGTTTGCCCCCAAGAAGCTGTGAAAAGGAGAGAGAGCCTTAGAACTGTGAACCATTGTTCCACAGAGCCAGGAAGTATATATTTTTTAAGGAAAAATAAAAATGTTCTTAATAGAATCTGTGCTGCCACTTATTTGGTGAAGATGAAGACTTCTCAATACATGTTTGCTTACATAGGGAAAACAGTACTGAAATATAATTCTACTTTTTATGAGGATGAAAATGATTTTTTAAAAAGCAGTGAGAAAAAGGCAGAACAAAATTCCATTTAATAAATAGGTACTAGGCATATACACTATGCTCAGCAGTGGGACCATGCTGTGCTGGACGCTACGAAGGGTCTCAGAGGCGCCAAAGCCATGGTCCCTTCAAAGAGGCTTCTGATCTGGTCGTGCAAATAAGCCATGTACAGGCAATCAGTAATGATCTGTAATCATGAATCAGAAATAGCGATTCCTCAGTGTGCCCATCCTAGGATCACCTAAGAGGCTGGAAAAACCCTGATTCTTGGACTGTGGCCTCGGCTATTCTGACTTAGCAGGCGTGGGGTGGGACTTAGGAATTCCTGTTATGAAATGCTGCTGTGATGATTCTGGTGCTCAGTTTGGGTGGCTGGACAAATAATGGATTTGGAGCAAACTTGGATTCTGATTCTGGTTCTATGCACGAGTAACAGTGTGGCTTTGATCATGTTGCTTAATTCCCCTGACTTTCAGCATTTTCTTCTGTATCATGGGAGGGTGTTGCTGCTGGTGAGAATAGGGGAGCTGAGAAAAAGCCCTTCAGCCTCTGTGTTGTTTATAAGTCACTAAAAAATTAAATGAACTTAAATTGTATATTAAAGAGTGAGGCCATTCTGTAGATATTATTTTGAATGTTTAGGCATCACTAGTAATCTTTTGTCCAAGAACCCCCAAATGTGTTCAGAAGAACATTCCTGTGTCACTTCTTCCCTCACCCATTTTTATTTTCTCTTTATTTCCATCCCATTCCTGTACCTCTGGTCGCACATATCTTGACCTCCTCAACTGCATGGAGCTTAGGATCCAGTTTATGGAGCTGTTGAGGGCTGTTTTGATAGCAGGTGTGAGCAAGCACCTGGGAACCCTGAAGGGCGAAAAACCTGAGGAGAGCCCAGACAAGGGGCTGGCTCCACGTACTGCCTCAAGAGAGCCCGAGAAGATCTTGTTGAGAAAAGTGGTGCTGCTTGGGGCTTTGCCTAAGGGAGTGGCTACACATTAGACTCACCCCCACCTGATCCTACCCACATCAATTACATCAGGATCCACCAAGTCCTGTCATTTTGAGTGGGAGCTTTCTGTCTTGAGTCATCTTCTGAAGACATTTTCTTGACTTGTGATAGGAGAAGATGGACATTCCTTTCTGGGGATGGTCAGATGTTCCTTATTTGATCTAACTGTATTCATGACTTAGAAACAACTCTACTCTTCAGATTTAGTAGGATAAAAATGTAATCAACCATTATTAAAATATTCAATAGTCAGTTGAAATCAATGACAGTCATGCACCATGAACTGAGACAGGTGATTGATTTATTCCTCAGGAGCTGAGGAGCAAAACCAAGTGTTAAAGTGAGCAGAGACAGGCTGTTATGTAGCATAGTGCAACTCCTAAAATGGCAAAGAATAAAATGTGTTTTAAGTTTAGCTGAGTTTTCTGCCTTTGCAAAAGAGTCAATTTGGAGAAAACTTGTGTCATCCTTGAATTTCCCTCACCACTTAAGGAAAATCAAAAAATGTCACATAGTTGGTCAGAAAGAAATTCAAGGAAGCATCTACTACTGTTTAATTTATTCTTTTACTCTTTTTTTCCCCTTCAAGATTGGTATTGCCAATAACATAGCTGGGGATTCTTCTGAAGACATTTTCTTTTTGACCAGCAATGTGGGGAGTAGGATGTGAAGGCGGATAAGAACAGAGAAAGCAGCCATGGCATGAAATATAGAGCCCACCTGCAAGGTGGCAGTGTTTGAAGTTTTCTCAGATGGAGGCAGGCATGAGATATTTCATGTCTTCCCAAATAGATAAAGAACGAATGATCTGTGAGAAATACAGACCTGAATTTAGAAAGTCATGATCTTAATTCTTCTTCATTTCTTGGCCTCATCTGTTCCCTTTTAAATTTTGAAACTTGATTCATTTTTCTTGCATGGCTCCCCAAAGAAATGAGTTGTAACAAGCGTATTCCATTAGGAACATTCTTTCTGAATGCAGAGTGCCGCTGCCACAGAGCATTTATTGTTTAATGAACAAATGGGGCACACCAAACAATTGAAAACCAGTTAATAATTCAATTATGGCTTCTCCAATGCTAAAAATGTCTAATTTGTCATTCCCGAAAATGATTTTCAACATTGCCAGAATCAGACTAAATTAGAATTCTTCTCTGTGTCCCCTTCCAAAACCTAGAAAATTTCTTTAATATTAATAAGTCAGGGTCAACTCCTGAATTACTGTAAACCTATGTAGAGGCTCAAAAACAGTTTTTTTATAGACTTGGAAAACCACTGATGAAAAAGACATGAGGCAGCCTTTTACATTGAATCTGGAACCTTTTAAAGAAAACCTTTGGTAGAGATGTTAGAAAACCCAGGTTCTTTCCATATTACTTGGTAGAAGTCACAAAAGAAATCTTTTATAATTGTTTTCCCACCAACTTGATGCAATTCACTCTTCTTTTGAGCCTAGAACTTCGTTTGACCTTCTTAAGTTTTGCCTTGTGATTGTGTATTTGTGTTGTACCCTTTGTTTGACTCTTGTCTGGGCATCCCCAGCGTATTAGTATATCGCTCAATAATGTGAATTTGTTTACTTGAATCAAGCTAGAGTTTCCAGGCGGCCTGCATTGCCTCTGATTTGCAATTCGAGCACAGTGGTGTTCACTCATAGGAGAGGAGGGACACCTGGTGGCAGTTGGGTACTTCAAGCAAAGAAGCTCATTTTGAAAGAAAGAAGGCAAATGAGAAGATAGAGTATGTGTGGGATACTGAAGGGAGGG